CGAATTGCCACTATTTGAAAGTGAAAGTAAAATGCGCACGCCGCTTTTGCAAGCTATTTAAAAGCGAAGGAAAGTGAGGAAACGCCCCGCCCCCACGGTGATACTAGTATTATCGGTGTTGTCACACTTCGATTAACCGGTGGGAAAATTTCCTCACCGTCACAACCCTAACGGACGAAAGGACAGATGAATAGTTTCTCAGAGGGAAATTTAGGTTGTCTCATTGTAATGACACATGAATTACACCAAAACCAAACAATTAAAACACACACTGTTAAAATGGCATATCACAAAATGAAAATATAATTATTAGGGCTGGGTAAAAAATATCGATATCTCGATATTAATCGATTCTCATTTTTACAGAACGATATCGATTCTTAGGATTTAAGAATCGATTAGTCTAGCCTGTTTTCAGTTAATGGACGGAACATTGAAGGGCACTTCCCATCCAATATATCACAATAAGCATTGTGCTTTGGTACTTTTAATATGAAACAAAGTCTCAGATTCCAAATTCTGTCCATTGTATTGCAGTATTCAAACAATAAATGCCGTTTTGGCGCTGTTTAATGTGGAGTGACAGATCGCTGTAGCGCCTCAGTTCAACAGACGCGGCAGAGCGAGGCGCACGTGAACTGATCATCTCCTCCACATTAATACCAGTTTCAGCACAAAATAAACATGACTAAACATCTGAAGGTAAGTTAAAAGAAAGAGTAGAACTTTACAATCCCTATCCTGTCTCATGTAATCACTCAATCTGTGTTTCAGCCACGCAAGTACGTCAATATAATGTCTTGTAAACAATGTCATGTAACGTCACATTTACCTCAGTAAAACATTTGTGACCATAAACTCATTAGTCAGCTAGAAAAATAAACTGTAGAGAGGGGCATTTTGCTAAATATATGCACCATATAACATATTGATTATAATTTTTTTTTTTTTAAAGATTTACTGTTCTTCAATGTTTAATTTGTGTTTGAATAAATCCATCAAGTTTTTATGCCAGCCACCATTATGTATATATTTCAAAAAACGAATTGAAGTAGAAATATTATGTAATTGTAACTTCATTATTTTAAAAACTTCATTAAGTGTAATTTAACAAATCAGTCAAATTTAACCTTCAATGCTATAGTAATGTGTACCAACTGACTCTCATGTAGCCTATATTTTACAGCATTAGTTGAGAGATTTTTTTCCTTGAGAAAATTTGGCATGTACTGTACCTGATATGCATCCAAAATAATCGATATTGAATCGAATCGGTAATCGAATTGAAAGCTTGTGAATGAGAATCGAATCGAGAAATTTGTCAAAACCCAGCCCTAATAATTATAAATTTATAATTTCCTTCATCAAAACACATTGTTTTAACAATTTCTGGCTTTGTTTTGCATTACATCCTTAACCCACGAAGCAAGTGAAATGACTACTATTAGAGGACACATGGCTCATCTTTTGAGCTAGTCTATATTTAGGCCAAGCTTAAGAGATTCACTTTCTCTCAAGAGTGGTAGGGAACAAATCTTGTACCTCATGCACATGGAAACAACACACACATTTGAGGTCATGAATTGTGGCAAGATGTGCTGCCTGTGAGATGGGATTTGAGGTTTAGATGTTCACCAGTCTGTCCCATTTCATCTGGGCGAGCGAGCTGGTTTTTGTTCCATTTTCACATTTATATTTAGAGCAAAAGAACAGCCTGGGCCATCATCAAGACAGTGTGCGTGTCTCTGAGAGCACTAAAAATACTTCCAATAGATTGCTAACTATGTCCTAATGTGGGTTACCCACACAAAATACCATGATATTCTGAGCTAACAGACGAAACCACCCAAATAAATGACCACCTGATTGACTTCAGCAGCTCATACTTGTGAAGTCAATCTCCCCTTCATTTCCCAAGGGATGTTATTTTTACTCAGTGGTCAATGAAGACAGACAGAGAGTCAAGAGAATATACCCACTCGGAGGACAAGCACTGTTAATACCATTTACATCTAAATAACCAATTAGCTAATGCACAAACAGAAACCGTTTCAAGTGTCAAAGGGATGAATACATCATGACCTTGTCATGAGTTTTGTTACAAACAGTTATTAGATAAAAAAATAATAAAACTAGATTAGCATTCTCAAACACAACAAGTGTAATAATTATTAAGATTACATGTTTGTCATGGTTTAATCAGCACCATGTGACTAAATAACTTTAAAACTCCAAAAGCAGTTTACATAAATTCCTGCAAGCTTTCATGGAGCACAAAAAGTCAAACCAAACATTTTCTCACACAACTGAGGGAACTCCTTAGCTCTTGGTCAAACTCCTGATAAAACGCTGCCTAATGTCACTGTTACATAAACCCTATTCATACACATTTAATTTGGCTTATTACGTAGCACAAATTATTGTTTCATTAAACGAGAAAACTCATTTTAAATTTTTTATTGTACCTTATTCAAACTTAAACCTGAGTATTTAACTTAATTAGCATTGAGCTAGTTTTAAATATCGTTCTGTCGCTGTCTTATTAGAGAAAAGTGTTCATATTCCATATATTTACAATAATGAAAAACTTAATGTTACCTAATTTACTTCTTAAAAACTGAAGATCTCTGAGCAGTTTGGATACATTTGACCAAACACTAGCCTCTCTTATTTAAAAACAAATCTATAATTTAAAAAAAAAATCGAAATAAATAAGAAATTAGCGTGTTGTGCGGTTGTTGGAACTCGACAACATAGCGAGAAATGTACAGAGAATGGCTCATTCAAATGAGCAGCAAGTCCAAAACAAACTAATTTAATAGAAAACAACCAAAATTATTTTTAACTGAATTGTATTGTTAATGCAGGGTATTTGTTTTAATAGTAGCTCTGTTATTTGTTTGATATGGCTGGGCTAGTTAGCTTATAGCATGTTAGCCACAGATCATCGATCTGGATTATTTCAGGAAAAACCTTCACATCATAGATCAAATAATTCAATACATTACACAAACACATATCTAATCAATTACATATATGTTATATTTACAAACTAACATCTATAATAGATGAAATGTCTTTTGTTGTTGTAGAACAAAAGGCTTGATTGAAGCCAGTAAACACACGGAATCAATCCAGCGCTAGAAAACCAGTGGATCCATGGCAACAGATCAACATTAAAACACACACGACTCCATATCACTGTAGAAACATAATGGTTTAACGTTCATTTACCTGGAGGGGCGGATAAGCCCGTGTCGGGTGGACCGGCGGACGCCATTTTGATTCGGGTTTACTGTCTGGACCCGATCCCTGACCGGAACCAGAGACAGACTAGTGTCCGGTTCCGCTCGGTCTGGCTCTCTGGCACGCTTTACTGTCACTGAACTAACTGACACTATAACCTATATAATACAAAAAGCCTTTCTAACAACGATCTACACAATCTGTATCGATATTTTATACGAACATCTAATTTATCCAAATGACAATTTATAATCCAAATGATATAATATCCGCGCTTTATATGTGTATAGATACTGACGACAGTCTTGCCTAGTGAACGTCCCATTAGTTTGAGAAACAAACTCGCCAAGCCTTTATGTACAGTGCTAAAAATAACAAAACTGTTCACAGAACAGATAACATCTTGGACAGGTTGAGCATGCATGACATTTGAAGTCCTTGGACACTGGGAACAAAATAATTGTTTAAATTTGAAATAATAAATCTAAAAAAATACATGTTATAATGCATGTCATTTAAAAGTAAAAGAGACAACTCCCTGCTGAAAAAAAACACCCTATGATTGTTGGCTGGTCTTAGCTGGTTTAAGCTAGTCAAGCTGGTCTCTCAAAGCTGTTTATGTCAGGCTGTTTATGCCTGAAATGTAAGAAAACCACCCCTTCTTTATTACAGTCTATTATAGTATTATATTGTTGTCTGAATGTGTGTTCACTACAAATATATATATATATATATGTATATATTTATATGTATGTGTGTGTGTGTCTCATGCACATACATATTACATTAAAACAGAACACATTTAAAGTAGTTTTACTGTATTTTTGATCAAATAAATGCTTTGGCAAAAAAACAAAACATTCTTACTTGTGAGTTTATTTGTTAAACATGCAATTTTAAATGAAGAGGGTCTCACATGCTCTGGATAGCCGTATGTGTAAGGCATAATATGTCGAGGGTTAGAGGAGCAGCAGAAGGGCCGAGCTCTCCATCAGTGGATCTATATTCTGGATCTGGAGCAGAGGCTGCAAAACAGGAGTACTGCTTTTCTCCCTTCTTCTTTCCACAACACTCAAACTGCCGTCCTTTGGCTTTCTTCTCATCTTTACAAAACTTATCAACCATCTTCTTCCACTGAAACAGATCAAAAGAGATACTCATGAATATTACTACTTGTGAGCGGGGGGGTAGTTTTACTGTATTTTTGATCAAATAAATGCTTTGGCAAAAAAACAAAACATTCTTACTTGTGAGTTTATTTGTTAAACATGCAATTTTAAATGAAGAGGGTCTCACATGCTCTGGATAGCCGTATGTGTAAGGCATAATATGTCGAGGGTTAGAGGAGCAGCAGAAGGGCCGAGCTCTCCATCAGTGGATCTATATTCTGGATCTGGAGCAGAGGCTGCAAAACAGGAGTACTGCTTTTCTCCCTTCTTCTTTCCACAACACTCAAACTGCCATCCTTTGGCTTTCTTCTCATCTTTACAAAACTTATCAACCATCTTCTTCCACTGAAACAGATCAAAAGAGATACTCATGAATATTACTACTTGTGAGCGGGGGGGAAAAAAATCAACAGTTTAATAAGAAAAGGTGATGCCAGTTTTTTTCTTTTCAGCTTAAATGAATGGTTGTATTTACTACTTAGTTCTGATGTGTTTGTTGTTGATTACGCAAACTTATTTTATTTACCAGCTATTGAAAGAGTTCATCTGAAAGTGTTTTCATGAGTTCAGAAATTGTGAATTGAAGTGTGAATCATTTGTGATTTGTTTCTCTTCACCTTCTTTTCAGCACAGCGTTGTTCGCTCTTTTTCTCCTTACAGCACTGGCTGTATTCTTTCTCGAGGACATTGATGGCCTTCGATTGACGGACCAGCCAGCCGTTCCTAATGCCAGGAAGACACTTGTGCATGTTTCGTGGTCGGATCTTGTGATGAGTGCAGATATGTCCTATGTTGGAGGAATCGGGACGGCCAGGTGGAAAGCTGATGTATGGAACTTCCGACTGCCTCGTAAGTGCATTTGGAGAAGCCACCAATGAGCTGGATGATTAAAGAGAAGAGAGAGAGCAATGTTTAAGTATTTATACATTGTCTATTCATTTTTCTTTTCCTCGGTCCCATTTGCAACCCTAAATGTGCTTATTTTCATGGTGGGATGAACGAGTATTTGTTACATCACCACCTACAACTAGAATATGAACCAGTGTTGAGGATGACACATTTCTTCTTTTTATGGGTTGAGAAGATGACGCATACTTTTTTCTCTCCAGCTAAATTTTTGTCTACATTGAAAAAGAACCTACTTACTTCTCTTTGTACAAATATTATAGTTTTGCTCATTTATTTAGGGAATAAGGTGTCAAAAAATCAGTTGGTACAATGGCCCAGTTATGACGGGTACTGTTTTTGACAGACCTATTGAAATCAAAAAAAAAATACATTGTCTATTCATTTTTCTTTTCCTCGGTCCCATTTGCAACCCTAAATGTGCTTATTTTCATGGTGGGATGAACGAGTATTTGTTACATCACCACCTACAACTAGAATATGAACCAGTGTTGAGGATGACACATTTCTTCTTTTTATGGGTTGAGAAGATGACGCATACTTTTTTCCTCTCCAGCTAAATTTTTGTCTACATTGAAAAAGAACCTACTTACTTCTCTTTGTACAAATATTATAGTTTTGCTCATTTATTTAGGGAATAAGGTGTCAAAAAATCAGTTGGTACAATGGCCCAGTTATGACGGGTACTGTTTTTGACAGACCTATTGAAATCAAAAAAATTTTTTAAACATAATATTTACTCCAGTAGAAACCTACCCGTTGCAATCGCTGGAGTTATATTTGAAGCCTGGAATCTTTTGTGGAGTGTTGCCATTTGAGACCTCGGAGGAGACGTGATATGAAGAATCTGAAGCCTCTTTATCAAAACAGCTCCATCTGGCCTTCCCGCTCTTCTTGCAGCAGAAGTAGTGACTGGTCTTAATAGAGAATTCCAGAGTACAGTAGGCAGACAGACTCTTCGTCCACTGAATGATTGGAAAGACAAATCAGAAATAAATATACAAAAGGAAAAGCAATGAGGTGCATCTACAATGAAAAAGAGAGACCGCAGCAGTCATGAGAGAATTATACACACACAAACGGTCAAAGCTGTTTACTTTGACAACGGTCCATTTCAGACTGCCAATGTTTTGGATGCTTTGGCACCAAAAAGACTAAATATTGAAATGAAAACAAAGAGATTTTGTCTAAAGACCTTGATTGTACATGAGAGTGCAGATCTTTCCCTGGTGCACAACAATGTGCATATAAAGACAAAGTAAACAATAGAACTGAGCAACATCAAAAAAATTAATAAAGTCAATGTAAATGCAGTAAATTACAAAGGCAAAGCAGGGGAAAATAAGTATTTAACGGTCTTTAAAATATGATTTAAAAAGAAAATGTACTTTCTGGTGAAATGTTAGTCCTCCTAGATCTGTGGTCTCTGCTTTAGTAATGTAAGGAATCTGAAAGCAGTTAAGAACTGGATTATTTAAACCAGATGTGAGTGTAAACAAACACTGTGACTCTGTAGCGCTAAAACTGTTTGAGAAAGGCTACGCAGCATCAAATAAAGGTAGAGGTTTGGTGCTGGATTGACAAATAACAGGTCTGTTTGGGAAACCTGTTTGGAAACAGGCAATAGAGTGCTTCAGGGATGACATGTTAGCACTAGAAACAAGTTAGCATTTTAGAGCTTCTGGTTCCATCATCCTGAAGTCAATGGGTTAAAAAACACAAGTTTTAGGTTATGGCAAGCTGAACAAATTTTCATGCTTTATTCTATAACCTAAAATGCATCAGTAATACCCCCTTTTTGAAAGTTTACTTATATTAAAATAGGTGGTTGCTAACAAATGGCCAAATGGGACTACAGAGGCTGTTGTGGACATTAAAAATCATTATACAAAATGTTAAACCCATCTACTCACTAGTCTGCTTTTATAACCTCATTATGTTTATAAATCGCACTCTTGCAAACTATTCTAACTCTATATTTTTTAAATAAATACTGAAAGAGAGAAGCCTAAAGTCATGCGACAGCCTACATTTAGCTTTCTACATCTGGTGAAAATTAATAAAAGGTGTGTTCATTTGTGAAGATCATCATGAGGAACAAAACAGAACTTATTTACCGCAATAATCCAAAAGCCAATGAAAAAAAAAATCCAATTGGGTTTTTGTTGAGAGAACAAGGGTGATGTTAATTTCCAGGTTGGACTACAAAAATATGTCATCACTCCAATTCATTTGTTGCTGCTTTCATTTAGTCTGGTGGCATGCAATTCATACACTAAAACTTTAAAGTAGTAGTTCTCAATTTATATCACAACAGAAGTACATATATGAGCTTGGACAGAAGGTCCTGTAAATATAGTCTTGTGAAAGCTACACGTATTATTAGAAGGTGTAATAATGTCAAGACTTTCACCGCTTGTTCAGCACAACAGATTTGCTCTTCTGGTGTTCCATCAATGCCACAGCAGACACTGTACCAGGACTGGAGTTGATTGATAGCATCAGCCTGACGATGCTCACGGCCAAAGCCATTCTGAGGAAACATGTTCTTAGGGTACCGGAGCGGAGCTTTACTGAACTGACAGATATCTTGCAGGTTGCCTGGAAAGGCTGGGGGGAAATCAACCTCTGGAACCATCATCCTGGGTCCCATGGAGCGAGGGTCAAACACTGGGCGACATGATGAGGCAGATGAGAGATTTTTAAAATGTAAACACCAATTATACCAGAAAGTTTGACCGGTTAAAAATCTGTAAAATGCTGCAATTAATTCAACCAGTGCTATATTAATTGAGTCCAGGGCTTCTTAAACACTATAGAAGAGCTTTTTATATAAACGTATAAAATGTTCATCTAAAGACAACTTTAAGTTCTTGCTCAGAAGTCGAGACACACTGGCAAACTGAATCTCAGCTCCCAAACCAAAACACATTATAGCATGCAACTGTACCTATTGGGCCATTCTCAGGGTGAACCTCTGTGACTTTTCTCCGGGTCATGTCTGAAGAGCCTGCAGCTAAATGCACACAAAGAAACCAAGGAAAGGATGTAAAACACCATCCAACAAATTCATTGACTTTTCATTGAGAAACAGCAAGCGATCACTCACCCAACACTTTGGAAAGGTCAGGGATGATTGGTCTCTGCATCATCAAAAAGTCCAGCTCTGAAATAAGACAAAGAAAGTATAAACTCTTGCTTTACAGATTAAAATAAGTTTTGCCTCTTAAGTCAACATTCATTTTAACGAAATCAAAACACATATCCATTACAAATATAAACCAACTGATCAATCAGCAGTCACTGATCATGGCCTTACCCTCAGGGGTAAATGGCAACTCTCGCTGAAGGCCATCTGCGAACGAAAGAAAACAACAATCAGGTCAGGCTCCTGACAAGCACGGCTTTGCATTAGTCATCAGTGATAACATTACGTGCAAAACTAGTTGGCAAAAAAGGTCCACTGTCTACTACTGACAGTAGTATAGTGATGTATGAAGCACAGCTAACACTTCTAGAAGTCATCATCCACTCATTTGACCAAATTAAACATTTAGCGAAATCTGTGTGGGGAATTTTTACGCGAAATTTCAGATCACATGCCTGCGACAACACGAAGAACAACATCAATGAGCCACACCAGCGTGTTGCGTTGGTGACATGCAAAAGTTATGCTTTTTTTGAACAACAATGTAATTGTCCATTTTTTTATCTGAATGGTACGTTGCTGTATAATAACTGCCTTTAATTAATTACGTATAGTAACTGCCCACTTACTATATTGTCTTTAACTGTGAAACTCACAATCATGCTGAACTAAATATTAGTGGATCCCTACTGAAAAACAAACAAACAATAGAAACCATCACAGAAATTCTACTAGTTTCCACTACAAATACCATTACAAACAATCAACTATTAACAATTAAAAAATTGTTTCCCGTGTTGTGTTTTGAAACATATTCCATTAGGATTTAGTGGTTTTAACAAGCCTCCAATAAAAGGCAACAAATTACCAGTAGAGACCCACAGAGACATTACAGTTCCCATTAAAACCAATACAATTCCTGTGATGGTTTCTATAGTTCTTTCAGCAGGGATGAATTATTATTAAGGTATAAAGTTGAAAATATGATTCAAGCAGACCTTCATCAGCCAGCGTGTCAGTAATGTCCCTTTGGACAGGAGAGTCTGGAAAAGTAGGACACATTGGCATTAATCATTAGAGGGAAGAAAAAAAACTTGGATAACATCCAGAACATCTGCAGGCATGTTTTATGTAACTCTGGTATCCATGGAAAATTAATCCATTCACAAACACTGCCTTTCGAAACATGACATAAATAAACAACAAATCATTTCTACGCTGTCGTAAAAGCAAAAGTAGCCTACTCTATGTCTGAGCTATGTTCTGTGCAAACGACATGAAAACATTAACGTGACGCAGACCTGAAAAGTTGCATTTACCTTCCGATGCATCGCACAGAAGAGCGAGTAAAAGCGTCAAATAAAGTCCCACGCCGCGTGAGGAGCTCATGGTCGGTGATGTGTCCTCAGATAAACACTTCTCAGTGGACGTTAAAGTGTATCAGACGCGGAGCCGCTGACCGTGTGTCACCGTTCCGCTCTTCAGCTTTTAAAGGCAACCCCTCCAGGACGCGTTAAGTTCAGAAGGAGATCATTTGGTGGTGGTGGAGGAGGAGGGCCATCTTCAGCTTCCGCAAACTTGCTGACACACTTTAACTCCTTCACAGAAGTTCGCTTCTTTTTCTTTTTTTCTTTTTGCCTACCAGTAGCAACCTAACCCCCGAAAATAATGTCATGGGTGAGGACGGAAAGGAGGGCAGTGTTTACGGTCAAAAAATACTTCCTTTCCCAATTTTGATCTACACCAGTTGCTTATCTAGAAAGATTTGTCAATCGCGAAAGACGCTTGTGATTTTTGTGACCTGCTTGGTCGTGAATTGAGCTAGCATATTCCTATAGGAAAGTTTTCCAAAACGCTTGTCAATGGATAACTAACAATATCTGATTTTACCCGCACTATATTTTTGTTCATGCATGTGCAGTTGCCTTTAATTAGCCTACATTTAATTATTTCTTATTTCATTAATTAAATTTAGTAAGGTACTGCGTTAGTTGTCACTTTCATTCCAGTAAATATCAGGGAAAGGAATTCATAGGCAAGAGTCTTTTCTAAAAACAACAACAAAACTCTATTATTTCCACCAGAAAAAAGTAGTTTATTAAACACACATTTATGACCCGTGACAACATGCCCCATTAGTGAGACATTTTGTTTCCACTAAACTATTAGTATTTTCAACTAAATTTTGCAGTGGAACAATTCTGAAACACGAGAACAATTTAATAAAACAGTAGACATTAGTAAGTGAAACAAGTTTACAGTTCTATCATCTACAATGTAGGCTATGCGGCACCCTAAGCTGACAATTATGCAAAATGTCAAACTTTATGAAAAAATTATGAAACTGTTTCATATCTTTTCATTAAAATCTACCTTCGTTATATATGCTACTTAATTTGATTTTTTTTTATGTAATAGCTGTAACACAACTATTATTTAAAATACTAGAACTGGAAAGTTGAAATTTAGGGTTAATTATTATTATTTTTTTAAAGGTGTTGAAGCTGACATTCAAAACTAGAGAAAACATCTTAGTAACTGGACCTTTGACTCATAACCTAGTTACTGGATGCCCTTGTGAATGTGACAAATAGCCCTAATCTTCCTTTTGGTCATCAGTCACCCCACACTAGTTATTGTATCAGCGTCAGTCGGTGAAAAAAAAACACATTTAGAGACAACCCGTTTCGCATAAGACACCAGCAGGGTTGGGTTGTCATGTCTTGAATGCATTCAGGGTGATGTGATGATGTGATGGTTCCTGGAATCCCTGTCTAACAAGTCTAAACATTGTGTAATATTTTGCTTTAAACCAATGTCAAGTAGAAATTCAAAATTACCATTTGTTCTTCTGCCAAAGATTTTGCCTAACACTGCACTTCTAAGCCTTACAGTGGACTCAATGTGGATATGTATATATAGATATGTCTACGCTGTTTGACATCATCTGATATTCATGTTCACATTATTCAAATGTTCATGTTTAATGGCAACATCCAATATACTAGCATGTATGGACATTGATCTTTTTAAGTGGGAGAACTTGCACAATTGGTGGCTGACTAAATACTTTTTTGCCCCACTGTATGTGTGTTGATTGCACTTGGAGTTGTGTTTAAACTATATTTATATATTCATGTGGATATTTAATCACACACTCTCTTACACTGTCACAAACAATCTTTTCAGTCTGTCTCACTCACAACATCCTCTCACATACATGTCTTTATAGCAAACGTCCACCACAAGCATGCCCTGTGCAAAGTCTTATTATTCTGCCTTTGTTTTTAATATATTCACAGCATATGTTACAGTCCATGTTTTATTACTAAGGATTTTTTTCCATTCAACAGATGCCTTTTTAAGATAAACCCCGAGAAGGGATCGAAAGTGGAGAAGACCACATCGAGAAAGCAATCGGCAGTCAGTCCAAAGGTTCTTTCACTGATTAACAAGATTGTGGACCCTGAATGGATGGAGTAAATACTTTGAGTGTCAGATCTTCCTACATTGCCTAGCAGAAATTATTGGCAGTGTCACAGACTTAAAATACTCGCTGATAATTTGCTTTCATGGTTTAATTATTTGTTTTTTTTCATGCCTCATCTGTTGTCAGGATGAGTTAATCTGTTCACAGGTGGTTCAGTTTTAAGGACAATTTAATTATTAATTGTTATTTGTTTATAAAACTGCTATAAAATTGTTGCCGTTTTGAACAATTCCTTTTGTTGTGTATTGTTGCAGTTATGATAATTGTTTATATTTTTATGCTGTTGCAGTTATGAACAAACTGAATTGGTATGTTGTTGCAGTTGTGATCGAATTTTAACTTTTGGACTAATTTTTAAATTGAAATATTGTTGCAGTTATGATCATTTTTACAAATATTTGTATACTATTGCAGTTATGAACAAATTATTGGAATATTGTTGCAGTTGTGATCAAAGTTCCCTTTCAGTCGGTCACTCTCGATGTCACGGCGGAGGACCGACGAATTGGGATCTCGCTTAGAGGGACCAATCTACTTCGAGTGTAAACTAAACGAGCCAATGCACATTGGCATGTGATTACTGATCACAGCGTGAGTATAAGTAGGCAGCAGGTGCAGCCATATTCAGCTTTTCTCTTCGGAGCCGAGCGATCACATCGTTCTGCTCCTGACTACTCTACTGAGAGAAAAGACAGAACGAATTCAACGCGCTCTGGTTCTCCGCTGACCAAAGCAGACTGAAGCCATCAGGTACATCCTGCCGGCGTGCAGCTGCTGCCGTCGCCGAGGGCGGCCCCCCTGCCACCGCTAAAACAAGAGCAGCACTCCTGCGGCCTCCAGCAAAGCTGTGCCGTGGAGCCGGTCGCAAGGCAGCCGCCCCGCCTGTCCAGGCCCCCACCAAACCTGGTGGCAAGCGAGCGAGCAAGAGGCCCAGAGACGGGCGACCCAGAGGTATTACGGTAATTTTCTGGCACCCCAGCTGCCGGAATTTTACCGTTTTTTTACGGGATTTTTTTTTACAGCGTACTATTACGGTATTAGTCTACTCAAACAAACACATGCCATTTACACTTAGCATTGCTTATTCATATGAACTCGTTTACTTGCACATTCAGGGTAAAACAATGACAGAGCAATGATGCTTTTTGCAAATATTACCATTTGTTATCTATTATTTTTGTTTCAATCTTGATATTCTATTTCAAAATACTCTTTGAAGAGATTTGCCAACATTATAAACAGAATGATTAGAGCTAAAAATCCTTTATCAAGACAAGGTCATCCAAACCTTTAAAAAACCAAATCTAACCCTAAACCCAGTGTCATATTTGATATGCAAATTTCCAAAGCCTCTACATGATTAAAACTTTTAAACCTTGTGCACAATTTACTACATGCCTTCTGTTGTCTCAGTTGATACTTTTCTAGCAAGTAAAAGACATCTTAAGGTCATAGGACATATGCTTTTTACTGTGAAATCTTTAATGATCTTTTAAAGTAAATGTAAAACTTTTGTTAAAAAATAATCAAATGAACACCTACTGGACTGAAGCAAGGTTTACTTGATTATTTATGTTTTTATTATTATCTTTACAAAAATCATGTTAAAGTGTGTATCAAATATGCTGGCATACACAGGCTTTTGTGGAACATGCATTATATGTTTTCCCCCACAATAAAGACTACAGAGCTTTGATCATAGAACTAAGCATTTAAATGGTATCCTACTTTTGTCTTATAAGATATATTGGTTACACTTTACTTGAAGGGGTGTGCATAAGACTGACATGACACCTTCATAATCATGACATGACACCTACATAATCATGACATGACACATGTCATGAATATGAAGGTTTTTAATGCATGTTTATGACAACTGTCATTAAGTGTCATTCACTCGGTTATGTAATTTCTAATGCAAAGATGACATTGTTTGAGATGTCTTTGTTATGGGCTATGGTTAGGGGTAAGGGTAGGGGTAGGGTTAGGTCAAATAATGTCATATTTGCATTAAAAATGACATAACTGAGCGAATGACACTTAATGTGTCATGTCATGATTATGAAGGTGTCATATCAGTCTTATGCACACCCCTTCAAGTAAAGTGTTACCGACATATTTTTGAGAGCTATCGATTGACAACTGACAACTCATTTTAAGTAGTAGTTTAGTATGAAGATCTCATTGATTTACAATACAATCTATAAGAATATCACCTTTTTGGTCCTATAAACATCAGCAACTGCATTGAGGTGTTTTTTTTCCCTCCTCGAGTGTGAGCTTCATATTCTCATCAAGCTATGAGCCATAAAAGTCTGGTGTATGTCAAATATTATTCTCAACAAAAACCATGTATGCAACTGTGTATTTTTTTTCTTGTAGATTTTTTCCCCTAAAGAATTAATGTACTGTTCCATTATAAAAAGAGATACATCCGTTTTGACAGGGTTAAAGATTGTCAAATTAATACTATATTGAGTCAGTCAATGGTCATTGAATTGTTTGTATCATATCCATATTCTTGATTTTTTTTCCTTCACTGAATACTCTGTAACTCTCACTGCAGTAATTATTTGTTAATTATAAATTTTTCTTGAGTAATTCTTTTTAAATATGTATGTTAGGCTACTAAAAGCATACTAAAAATACATTTACATATTTATGTACTTAAGAAAAATACCCTGCAACTGTACTTTTGGTATACTAAACTGGTATACTTCAAGTCTGCTAAATTGGAACAACTCATTCTGTGCTTGTCCTGAGCTCCAACTAAAGATATACTGCAGTATATTTGATTGTGCTAAAGCGGAACTACTTCAGGTACACTTTAAATATCTTGCATTTAAAGGCCGATAGTATTCAAAGATCACACAATCCTCATCAATAGTGACATTAAAACATATTTTAGGCTTAATATTAAGAAATGTGCATTGTGCACAAAAAGTACTCCAAATAAAGTTTAATTATAATTTTTATATCAGCAAGTTTCGAGCAATATGTCAGTACATATGTTAATAGATTTGAACTATACTTAGTATGAAATAAATGTATTTTAAATATATTATTTTTTTTTTACTATGGATGGTATTGGAAAAAAAACCTCTGAATTTGGTTTCGGTGTGATGGCTCACCGATTGTGGCTCCAGGTACAGCTGGCGG